ATCAAATTTAAGCTTTGTGTCACAATACTGAAAGATGCTATGGGTAATATATTGAATGACCAAGAAAGCATCAAAAGAAGATGGAGAGAATATACAGAATCACTGTGCCAGAAAGAACTGATTGACAGTGTAAAATTTCAGGAAATACCATATGAACAGGAGTCAATAATAATGAAAGAGGAAGTAAGAGCTGCATTGAAGGCACTGCCAAAAAAATAAGTCCCAAGAAATTGATGAGATATCAATTGACTTGTTTCAATCAATAGATGCAGCCTTGGATGCACTCACCAGTCAATGCCAGGAATTTGGAGGATGGCTGTGTGGCCAATAGATTGGAAGAGGTACATAATTGTTCCTCTTCTCAAGAAGATTGATTCAACTTAATGGGGAAACTACTGAACAATATCATTGAAATCACATGCAAGCAAAATACTGCTGAAGATCATTCAGAAATGGCTGGAACAGCACATAGACAGGGAACTGCCAGAAGTTCAACTGAGATTTAGACGAGACTGTGGCACCATGGATATCATTGCTGAGGTAAGATGGATCCTGGCGTAACATAAGGAATACCAGGAGAATGTCTATTTGGTCTTTATTGACTATGCAAAGGCAATTGACTATGTGGCTCATGGCTCACAACAAGTTGTGCCTGACATTGAGAAGAATGGAAATCCCAAAGCATTGGATCAGGATGCTGTTGTGCAAACAGAGCAGTGAGCACTGCATAGTTTGGAATTGAGAAAGGAATGCATCAGGGTTGTATTCTATCTCCACACCTGTACAATCTATATCTAGCTGAAATAAGATTCATATTTCACATTACATACAAAACTAACTCAATATGAATCAAAGATCTAGGAACAAAATCAAAAGCCATAAGATTACTAGAGAAAAACACAAACTAAGAAGCCCTAATCTATGGCTTAAGTAGATATCAAGTATAGCTAAAAATGTACAAGTGGAAGAGTATAAAATGGATGAATGAGACTTTTAAAAAATTAAGTTATTATGCTCATAAAAAATTTCTCAAAAAAGAGTTGTTGTCATTATGTGCCGTTGAGTCACTTGAGACTCATAGCGACCCCATGTACAACAGCCTAAAACTCTGCTCTGTCCTGTGCCAATTGCACTGTGTCTGATACATCCATCTTGATTACCCCAGTCACTGAATCAATCCACCTCATAGAGGGCCTTCCTCTCCTGCACTGTCCCTCCATCCTCCCAAGCATCCTCTCCAAGGACCGGTCCCTCCTTACAACATGTCCAAAGTATGTCAGACGAAGCCTCAGAATCCTTGCCTCCAAGGAGCCACCCAGTTTAACCCTCTCCAGGATGAACCTGTTTGTTTTCTTAGCAGTCCATGGCACATTCAATACTCTTCTCCAGCACCACAGCTCAAAGGAATCAATTCTCCTTCTATCCTCCCTAGTCATTGTCCAACTCTCTGACGCATAACTAGTGATAGAAAGTATATTATACAGGTTGTTTTTGTTGGGTACAATAGAGTCAGAATTGACCCTTCATCAGGTTTTCAGAGGCAGTAAATCACACAGAAGGAGATTGTCTATTCTTCTCACATGGAGCAGCCAGTAGATCTGAAACGTGTCTTTGGGACTATAGTGCAACTTCTGCCATTAAACCACCAGAGCTCCCTCTTTTATAGATTAGGAAATATATCTGGCAATGTTACATCTAACAAGAGGTTCATTTCCAATATGTATAGAAAACCCCAACACCTCAATAAGAAAAATACAAACAATCCAATTACAAAATGGGCAGAAAATATGAAAAGATCCTTCAACAAAGAAATTTCTGTGGTCTATAAACACATGAGAAATGCTCAAGATTACTAACTCTTAGAAGTAAATCAAAACAATAACAAAATATCATCTCATTCTAGAAACAATGAAGAAGTTCAACAAGGACTGCAAACAACAAATGATGTTGAGGAATGGTGAGATGGGAACTCTTTTTCTTTTCTTTTTTTAAAATTTTATTTTATTAATGTTAATGGACATTTACAGAGATTTTGGATTTCCATTCATTCATTGTTGCACTTTTCTCCCTGCCCAGCCCTACTCCCCCTCCCCAGTTCACTCCTCTCTTTGAAAAGTAAAAGAAAAATTCTTTCTTTGGTTTATAATACCCCTGCACCCCTGCCACCACCCCAAGTACACTCCACTATGCAACCTTAATTTTGGACTCTTGTGATAACCATAATACCTATCATATATCACTTTTAAATTATTCATCTTTCTTCTTATTGGCTTTTGTTCATATAGTATTTTGTGGAATTTTTCTTCATCAGCTGACACTTTCTGACAGTGTATTTGGTCTATCTTCTTTTGCTGCTCGTGGACTGTTAAACATTATATCCATCACATCTTTCAGTATTGCAACTTGCAGCTTAACTTTGTTCTTCAGTTTCTTCAGCCTGAGAAATGCCGAGAGAGTTCTTCTCTTTTTATTTTCTGACTTTAGCTCTTTGCACATCTTGTCATAATATTTTGCTTTATCCTCTTGAGCTACCTTTGAAATCTTTTCAGTTCTTTTACTTTGTCATCCCTTCCATTTGTTTTGGCTTCTTGATTTACCAAGGTAATTTTCATGGTCTTTTCTGACATCCATTTTGGTTTTTTCTTCTTCCTACTTCTTTGTAATGATCTGTTGCTATCCTCATGGATGATACTTTTATATTTTCCCACATATCCTGTGGTCTTTGATCATTGATGTTCAATGCCTCAAACTTGTTCTTGAGATGATTCTTAAATTCAACTGGCACAGACAAATAGTCATATTTTGGATCTTGTGTTTTCAGTTTTAATTAAAATTTGTTTATGTGTAATTGATGATCTGTTCAACAATCAACATCTGGTCTGGTTTTGACTGCAAATATTATGCTTTCCCAACAATTCTTTGCACAAATATAATCAGCCAGATTCTTCAGTAGTCCATTAGATGAAGCCCATGTGTAAAGTCACTGTTTTTTTTAAATGGTAATTGTTACAAATAAATCACTGAGGATACAAAACTCAATCTTCAATCTCCAGCCTCATTTCTTCAATAATTTCATACATTCCTACTACCATTCCTTCCTCATTGTTTCCAACCTTTGCATTCCAGATCCCTATAATTACTACTGGATCTTGACTGCATGTTTGGTCCATTTTGGACTACAAAAGTTTGTAGAAATTCTCAAACTCTTCTTCTTTGGCTTTAGTTGGTGGTGCGTATATTTGAATAATAGCCACATTAAGAGGTCTTCCGTGTGTGTGTGTGGTGTGTGTGTGTGTGTGTGTGTTTGTGTGTATAGTATCTTGTCACTCACTCACAGTATTGTACATAGGGATAGATCTTGAAATTATCTTTTTAACTATGAAAACAACGCCATTCTTCTTAAGTTTTTCATTGCCTGAATAGTTGGCTATGTGATTGCCTGATTCAAAGTGACTCACACTTATTCTCAGTTCACTGGTCTAGAATGTCAATCTTCATATGTTTAAATTTTTTAAAATTTAATTTCTTTATTTTTCATTTCAGTGAACGTCTACAGAGATTTTGGAATTCCATTCATTCATTGTTGCACCCCTCTCCCTGCCCCCCCCCCCCCCCGTTTGCTCCTCTCCTTCAAACGCAAAAGAAAAACTCCCTCATTGGTACATAATCCCCCCACACACATCCCCCAATCCCCAACTCTTACACTGTTGACAGGAACGTAAAATGGTAAAACCACTATGGGAATCAGTTTGGTATTTCCTTAAAAAGTCAAAAATAGAAGTACTATTTGATCTAGCTCTTCCAATAAGAAACAAAAGCTGTGACCCAAGCAGATATGTGCACTCCCATTTTATTGCAGTTTTGTTCACAAAAATAGAAATAATCTGAGTGCCCATCAATGAAAGAATGGAGAAATTACGGCACATTTACACAATGGTGTACTATACAACATTAAAAAACAATGAAGAATTCGTGAAACGCTATACAACATGGATAAGTCTCAGAAAATTATGCTGAGTCAATTAATTAAGTCAGTCACAAAAGGAAAATACCATGTAAAGTCACTATTATAAAAAAAGTAGAGAAAAGTTTAAATAGAGAGAAAAATCAAGCTAGTATGGTTACCAGGTTGAGAGGAATGGGGGGAGGAGTTAAAAAATTAATTGATAGACAATAAACATTTCTTAGGATACATGAAGGGAAGGACAATGTGGAATGAATGAATGCCAGACATTGCATATATCATGATTCATATTGCATAAATTATGCATGATACTGATTGAAAACAACCAAAAAGTATGCTTTGTAAATCTTCATTCAAATCACAATTAAAAAAAATGTGGAGGTGACATTCTCACTCAAATTTACTGCTGTTGAGTTAGAGCCAACTCATAGCTGATCCTTCAGTGGGTTTTCGGAGGCTGTAAATTTCATGGGAGGAGAGTGCCCATTTTTCTTTCATGTAACTTCTTGTGGGTTCAAACCAGCTGCCATTAGGCTAATAGTGAAATTCCTTAAAGACTATGTCATGGAAGCCTATCTACTCCATCCAGCCTCTCATAATAGAAAAAAACAACCAAACTGTTTTGCTAGTCTTTAACTACCACTACTTACATTTAGTTTACATTCTGTGTTCTAGTAGAATATCTTAAAGAGAAAAAAAAAGGGTTTCTATTGTCCTAAAACCAAAACCCTATGTTCCCTGTGATCAAGCTGAATGCAGCCCTCAATCATTTGCATCACTGTGGTGCTGAGAATGGAGTAGCTTTGACAAAAGGAGGATTCTTTAATATTCTTTGTCTAATAGGATGATCCCTAGATCTGTGCTTCTCAAACATCAGTGCTCATAAGTCACTCAGAAGTTGTAAAGCAGTCTCTAACTGAACAGGCCTTGAGGACTGCCGAGGAGTACATTTCTGTCAGGCCATAGGTTTCTTTCATCATAAACCCACGCACCACTTCACCAACCTCTCTCAGGTATTAACATGACTGACGTGTACCTGCCAAAGTGTGTCAAACTTCTTCCCATCAGGGATGGAGAGTTTGCCAGTTTTGTCTTTATCGATGCGATAATGCAGCACCTTCCCTTCATGCAGGAGACAGAGGGCAAAGGATCCGTTGTTGTCTCGGGCTCGAATCCTGAAAAATAAATATTCCAATTACCTTTGCTTTGATGCTCAGTGCGCAGAAGTCCAGGAAAGAATTCTGGCCAGGCTGGTAGATGGTCAGGAGATACTGCCAGATCTTTACTCCAGAGAAAAGACCAGCCCCTTAAAAAGGACACGACAGTTGAGGTTTCTGTACAATATGCCCATAAAAATCCATCTTTCAGCTTTGAAACTTTTGGCTAGTTTAAGACTCAGATAGTGTGTGACAGGTTGGAGATTGGGAGAACCATAGCTATGAGTTAGTTCTGACTTAACAGAAACGAGTTTTTGAGTTTTGGAGTGTTTGGGGGGGAGGGCGCGGAAATCCTAGTTAAATGGAGTTGATTCCAACTTATGGTAATTCCATGTGCATCAGAGCAGAACCACAGAAATGCAACTGAAAGTAATGGCTTATTTTTGAGATTACCAGGCCCTTCTTCTGAGGCACTTGTGGTTGGATTCCAGCTTACATCTTTTGTTTGGTAGTTAAGCAAGTTAACTGTTTACGAGTGAAGGACTCTTAAGCAAAAGTTTGTTGGCCAGAGAGGAGGTTATCCTTACTCATATCCTGAGGAGTTAAGACTGAGACCACAAGCAGATGAATGAATGCACAGAAGATTTATGAGACAATCTAGTCAAAGCATGTAGGACTTAAGGAAACAGCTCTCTAGGCAGGGCTGCAAAGACAAAAAAAGTGTAAACAAACCCCCTCCCAGTTTATTGACTCAGTCATCATTACCCTCTCAATAACTGAAGCCTTAAGAATCATTAGATATTAGAAATCCAAAATCTCTCTAAATGTTCATTGAAATGAATAATAACAATAAAAAAAGAAAAAAATTTCCTTTCTTATAAAAAGAAAGAATCCTTAGATAGAAGAAAGTGTTATCCACAAGGGTCTCAGAAACCATCTGTGTTTTCTGAAATCAGGAAAATGAGGCCCAGAACTAACAAACAATGGCCCAAAGGAACAGTAGTGTATAGAAAAGAGTTCAAATATTAGGGGACTTGAGGTTTCAAGAAAGTTTCTAATGCGTTCTTCCATAGCATTTAATGGACTTTGAAACCAGACCAAGCTATACTTTCCTTTCCCTGCCATGTTTATGTATTTCAAAATGTAAACCTACGAATTGGGATCTGAACTGTGATATGTGAAGCTGAAATTTTGTTTTACCAATAAATTGGATTTGGGCTGGTTTTTTTCTCCTCTCAAGTCATGTGGTAGATGGGTTCTCTCCATGCCCCACTCTGTGAGGTAGAGAGACACATATCCATACCTTTCCTGGCCTTTGCAAGTGCCTACTTCTGGAACCTTCTGTACTGTGGAAACAGCATCTTTTCCCCAACCTATCCAAATGTTTAGAACCCAGAAACGTTGAGTTGCTCTTTTCACAATCAGTTAAATGTGCTGGTTGCTGGTAAACTGCAAATAAATGAATAACAGAAAGAAATGAACTTTTCTTATATATATATAAAGTAGTCTCAGAAACTCAATGGAGAGTCAGCTGAGGCAGTGCCAGACTTGACAACAATGAGAATGAGAGCTGAATCAGAGAGGAAATATAATACAGGACTTACTTTACTTATGACATAACTGCTGAATAAGCAGAATAATTTGGAAGTACAAAGAACTATACAAATGTTAAAGTATTTACTAATTTGTATATACTGTAAAACTGATTTTATGAGAATTACATTAAGGTCTATACCAAAGGTTATATCAAAATGTTCTTTTCCTTGATTCAGAGTTTTTCCATCTCTACTATCTCAGGGCCTAGATGTAATAAAAGGGACCCAAATTTTGTTTCCTAAATTTATGTCCCATCTCTACTATTTCATCTTACCTTGGATACTGATTGGTATTTTATTATTAAAACTGAAGCAGGAGATCAAATATGATAAAGGAGAAAGGAAAATATGATGTAATTGATCTTGCTAGATATCAAGAGAAATAAAAACTATGAAGCATCACTGCCTGTTTCTACAAAGGTTTGATCTCTGTTTCAGGTGAGACTTAAGGTGCAATGTTTATTAGCCATTGGGAGTGAATTGATTGTTTTCGGCCTCCTATTTAAAAACACACTGGTCATATCTCTTAGATTAAAAAGCTTAAAAAGACTAATAATGCTAAGTGTTGAGACCAAAGGGAGCAAGAATCCTAACATACTGTCAATTAAAATGGAGATTAATTAATATACTCTCATAAACAATTTGTAATTATCTACTAAAATTAAACATATACTGTAAATATCCTGTGAATCAGCAATTCCATACTCAGGTATATAAAACCTGTATACTTTACATCCCAGAAAGTATGCTGGGGTGTTTAAAGCAGCATTTTATATGGTGGTCTAAGCAATCTCAGTATTTACTGGCTACTGAGTGAGCAAATAAATTGTGGATAATTTCTTCTTTGTCTGTAGTCTGGTACAACAACTAGATGCTGGCAGATACTGGTGGGCACTCTTTAAAGCCTAACAATGTTTAGCCTATAGCCACAAAGAGTTGGCAGGAAAAGTGACCAGACATGAGTGTGCAGCTGGCAGGAAATGAAGGCAGAAAAGGGAAACCCACAAACCCAGCATCTTTAAGTGGCAAAGACCAGAAAGCTGAGTGAAGATTAATGGCCAGTAACTGTGATATCTATTGGCTGCAGGCAGTTCCTAGGTGGGCTATTTTAACAGATGGATAAAACTGGTTTGGAGGCTGATGTGTTCCTCCACCCCCTGCTACTTCCTGTTACTCAGGAGCACTCCTGCCAAGGTTTCTCCACTGCAGACCACCTGAAAGGGGGGAAGGGGAAAAGGCAGACCTTCCAGTTGTTGTTTAACTGCCTTGTGTTCAATTGACCTCCACTTATTTAGGACTCCATTTAACTCGTTGCCCTTTTGTCAATTCTGACTCATGGTGAAGATGTATGCCAAAGTGGAAGTGTACTCCATGGAATTTTTCATAAGTAGATTCCAGTTTTTTTATTTTGCTGTTCCTCTGGGTGTCTTAAATTACCAATCTTTAGCCTATCTTTTCTTTTTCCTTGCAATTAATTTTTTTTAAAAATTTTACCTACAAAGTTCATATACATTGTCCCTCACACAAGATCCCCTGACCTCCCCAACCCAGTCCCATTCTTCTCATCAAACCATGCAACCCCAAGATTACCGCCATCCCCCTTAGATCCTCATACACATTTTACTAGTTCTCTATTTCTACAATAATGATCTTATACAGGATTTGTCCTTATAAGGCTGAGCTAGTTAGCATAACGCTCTCCAGTCCTTCCCAAGTTAGGTAGTGATTTACAAAATCATTGCTCCAGCCTATCTTTTTGCTTAGTAGTTGTATGTGTTAATCATTTGCATCATTCAAAGTCTTCTTGGTCATAGAAAGTCTAGCATAATTTTTTCCTCAATGATTGTTTTTAAGGAAGTATGTTAACAGAAATGAAAAATAGTAAGAAGTTCTCTGAGTGAGAAGAGGTGGGAGGGCAGGGAAAAGTCAAGCCTGCCTCCTATTGTGGTAAACTGTCTACTCATAGTCTCCAAAGATTTTTGCCCTTTTCACCCTACTGTGACCCGGTGGCTCAGAGGAAGTGTGAGTTGAGAGGAGGCTTTCCAGAGGTTGTAAAGTTGCAAACAGGAGAAGGCAATTCCAGCCCACTAGGCTCCCATTTCTGTTGGCAGGGTAGCAGAGAGATTGTTGAAATGGGGGGTGGGGTGGGTGGATAGCTCAGAGAGGATTGAGGAAGAAAGGTTATAGGCAGAGTATACAGGATGGTGTTCACTGTGCACAGAGGGGCCTGAGACAGAAAAGGGTTTACCTTCCCCTATTAACCAAAGCTGAATTCTAGATATTGTCTGAAAGACCGCTCTCTTGCCCTCAGTCAGAAACAGTTCCACAACTGCAGCTTTTCAAAGGCAAAAATCAGGGATGAGGAGACAGATATATCATGTAGGTCAGTGTAGGTAAAATGTCAAGGATCCTACTCGGGAGAAATGGCAGCTCTATTATATACATAGGACAAAAAAAGAAATGCTGTTTCTGGGAGATTTTGTTTTGTACCATGGCCAAATATAGGTATATGTGCTATCACACAATGAAAGCAAGATAAATATAGAAAGCAGGTCCAAATCTTGGGCTATATCAAGCTATCCTTTCCCATTTTTAAAAAATTTTTATCACTGACATCATTTCTCTCATTCTACTTTAGCTCTTTAAGATGGAACTAGGTCATACATCTTCTTTCCTAGTTCTAAGTTTCTTATCACCATCAATTAGATCTTATAGTAAATGATGATAGTATACAGACATGCTCAATGAACATCTGAAGATCACGAAAGCCAAAAGGTCTCACTAATTTGTGATCTTAATTACAAAATTTGCTTTTGAAATTTAAATACACAAAGAAAAAAGGTGAATTTCTACCTGAGCAGGGAAAAGCAAGTGGCAAATTTGTTATGGTTGGGTGCTATTAAGGTGACCGAGACTCATAGCTACCTCATGAACAACAGATCTGAATTTCACCCTATCCTGCACCATCCTCACCATCTCTAATATGCTCAACCCCACTGTGTCAATTCATTTTGTGAAGGACCTTCTTCTCTTTCTCTGACCCTTCACTTTTGCAAGTATGATGTCTTTTCCAGGGAGTAGGCTCTCCTAACAACATTCCCAAAGTATAGAGACAAACTTTTACTATCATTGCCTCTAAGGAGCGCACTGGTTACAGTTTATCCAAGACAGACTTGTTTGTCCATGGGGTATTCTGGACTCTTCTTCAACACTACAATTCAAGGGTCTCAAGTGTTCTGTCATTTTTATTCATTGTTCAAATTTCAGAGCATAGGAAGCTATGATCTAAGACTATAGCTTGGATCAGGTGCACCTTAGTCTTTAAACTGACATCCTTGCTCTTTGGCATTTTGCAGAGGTTCTTAGTAACATATTTTCTCAATGAAACATACTTTTTGATTTCTTGATTGCTGGGTGTTGATT